TCCGGGAGCAGCCACACCTGGGCCATGCCGGAAGTCCCGCCTCCCCGCCTGCCCGTCAGGCTGCAGTCCTGGCCCAGCCTCTGATGGAGGGGCGTCCTGGGCCAGGCAGCCTTGTCTGTCAGTGGTGAGGGCAGGTGGCCCCGGAGGCCTCTCCAGGCGGGCAGTTCCGTGCCCAGGGGGCGGGAACCAGGCAGGGCAGGGAGCCTGGAACCCTGCGACCCCAGTTGTCAGAGTGGGCAGAGCCTCCAGGACTCCCTGAGGCCCAGCGGGCGGGATCCCTTTGGGAGGCAGCTCCTGCACAGGCTCCATCAGTCCTGCTCCTCAGGGGAGGCTGGGAGCCCGCAGGTGGTCTCACCTGGGAGCCTGTTAGAAATGCGGGCTCGGAGGCCCCCACGGCCCCACCGAGTCAGAATCTGCATTTCATCTCCAAGAGTGGGCAGAGCCTCCAGGACTCCCTGAGGCCCAGCGGGCGGGATCCCTTTGGGAGGCAGCTCCTGCACAGGCTCCATCAGTCCTGCTCCTCAGGGGAGGCTGGGAGCCCGCAGGTGGTCTCACCTGGGAGCCTGTTAGAAATGCGGGCTCGGAGGCCCCCACGGCCCCACCGAGTCAGAATCTGCATTTCATCTCCACGACATTCACCTGCAGAACTCAGGTGACTCCCTCCGGCCGGCCGCCCCATGACCACCTCCTGGCGGCAGCACGCAGGCCGGCGGCTGGCGAGCTCCGGACCCTCTGATGTGGGTGGGAAACAGTTTGAAGGTCCGTGCGTAGCTGCCTGTGGGCAGCAGCTCAGCTCCAGCTCGGCCCGGGAGGGGCAGGGTGCACCCCCAGCCCAGGCTCCCGGAGCCGGTCCGGCGGGGCCTCAGTGGCAGTACTCCTGCTCGATGCTGGCCATCAGCTCCTCCTCCGAGCAGTCGTACAAGATGACCGACCGCCTCTCCGGCCTCTCCTGGCTGCTGCCCGGGGCTCTGCGGCCGGAAACAGACGCGGTGTCAGGAGGCGAGGCGTGGCCGTGGGACTCAGTATCTCTCCCGGGGAGCCGCCATGGCCCCGCCAGGGGATTCTGCTCATCCCGTGACCAAAACCAGGAAGCCGGCCCTGGGGACACCTTCCCGGACTCCCCCTCTCGGCGAGCAGGCCTCTGCCCCTGCCTGCAGCGAGCCAGGGCTGAGTGCTCAGGGCGAGGCCCGAGCGAAGAGCCCAGTTCCGGTCCCGGCTCCGCCACTTACTAGCTCAGGGACCTTTCTTTTTCTCTAAAATGGAGCTGTCTTCACAGGTTCCTTCTGAGGCAGAAATGAGGTAAAATGCATGGACAGCATGTGACACAGTCTTGCCCTTGGCAAGTGTGTGTGGGGGGGGGCGCCACAGCCATTGGCCTGATGCTCCCTGACCCCCCACCTCTGGGGGTCCCACAGGAGCTGCTGCGGGGGACAGGGTGGGGCCCCCCCACAAGCCGACCTGAGGGTGAGCCGAGATGCTGAATGCCGTGTGTCTAGCATGGAGCGTGGCACCTAGAAGTGCTGGGCAGAGAGGTCCCAGCAAAGCCCCTGACACTTCCTGTCCCTGCTGTCCCCTCGGGGGCTCGCGGAAGGTGGCCAGGGCAAGGCATTCGGAATGGGGGGGCACCTCACAGACCCCAAGGGCGCCAGGGTCTCTTGAACAAGCCAGAGGGGAGCAGGAGTCCCAGGGCATCCATTCTGGGTCCTCAGCGGACCCTTCCAGGGGTTAAGTGTGTTTTCCTGGGACTAGAGGGGCCCATCTGTCCCCCTCTAGGCAGTAAACTCCTAAAGGCCAAGGTCAGTGTCTCATCCTGAGTGATGGGTGAGGCTGCGACCGGGAGGGGCGGGTCCGGGACGCCTGAGTGACTGGGTCAGGGCCTTTTTCAGGAGGGTCACAGCTGCTGGGACTGGGAGGTTCTGCGCTGTCCCAGGGCTGGGGCCTGCCCCCTCTGCGTGCCCCCCCCCAAGCCCCCCAGCAGAGCTTTGCATTCTAAGAGGGAGCTGCAGGGGGGAGGGGAATGGGGCCCTGAGGCTGTGGTGCAGGTGGAGCCCAAGGAAGAGCCGAGTCCAGCAGCAGGTGACTCCCGGACTTACTCAGACACGCCGCTGCTCTCCGGGGGGTCTTCCACTCTGTGCTCCGGGGACACCTTGAGAAGGACAGAAGGAAGAGGCATCAGAGGGTGACCGGTGGCGAGCCTCCCACCGCCCGGCTTTCTGTGACACCGATGGCCACCACGTTCAGCCCAGGGCTGAACAACATCCCCCTGTATGTGTGTACGGTCGGCCCTCCGTATCCGCGGGTTCTGCATCCAGATCCAACCAACAGGTCGGACATAGAAAAAGCAGCTCACGTTGCTGATGTGCACGGTGTAGTGAGGCTGCGGTGGTTGTGTTTGCAATGAGCACAGTCAGGGTTTTCTCTCGTCTTCATTCCCCAAGCAACACTGTAAAACGACTGTTTACACAGCGTTTGCATGACATTAGGTGTTATAAGTAACCCAGCGATGGTCTAAAGCGGTGGTCGGCAAACTGCGGGCTTGAGAGCCACACGCAGCTCTTTGGCCCCTTGAGTGTGGCTCTTCCACAAAATACCACGTGCGGCGCGCACGTACAGTGGCCACCACGTTCAGCCCAGGGCTGAACAACATCCCCCTGTATGTGTGTACGGTCGGCCCTCCGTATCCGCGGGTTCTGCATCCAGATCCAACCAACAGGTCGGACATAGAAAAAGCAGCTCACGTTGCTGATGTGCACGGTGTAGTGAGGCTGCGGTGGTTGTGTTTGCAATGAGCACAGTCAGGGTTTTCTCTCGTCTTCATTCCCCAAGCAACACTGTAAAACGACTGTTTACACAGCGTTTGCATGACATTAGGTGTTATAAGTAACCCAGCGATGGTCTAAAGCGGTGGTCGGCAAACTGCGGGCTTGAGAGCCACACGCAGCTCTTTGGCCCCTTGAGTGTGGCTCTTCCACAAAATACCACGTGCGGCGCGCACGTACAGTGCAATTGAAACTTTGTGGCCCATGCGCAGAAGTCGGTCTAAAGTATTTGGGAAGTTGTGTGCAGGTTATACACAGACACTGCACCATTTTAAAGAAGGGACTAGAACATCTGAAGGTTGTGGTGTCTGCGGGGGGCCCCCATGGACACCAATGGTGACTGTACCACTTTTCTAAAGAAAATTTATTCTTATTTTTCCAATTTACAGTCAATATTATTTTGTATTAGTTTCAGGTGTACAGCCTAGTGGTTAGATAATCATCTTTTACAAAGTGTCCCCCCAATATTTCTAGCACCCACCTGGCACCCATACACAACCATTACTATTACTGACTATAGTCCCTATGTTGTACTTTTCATTCCTACGACTGTTTTGTAGCTGCCAGTCTGCGCTTCTCAATCCCTTCACCTTCCTCACCCAGCCCCCAACCCTCCCCTCACCCAGCAACCATCACTTTGTTCTGTGTATCTAGGAGTCTGTTTCGGTTTTGTTTGTTTATATGGCTCTTTAGATTCCACATATAAATGAAATCATATGGGATTTGTCTTTCTCTGGCTGGCTTATTTCACTTAGCATAATACCCTGTGTCCATCCATGCTGTTGAAAACAGTTAAGAACTCATTCTTTGCCCTAACCTGTTTGGCTCAGTGGATAGAGCGTCAGCCTGCAGACTCAAGGGTCCCAGGTTCGATTCCGGTCAAGGGCATGTACCTTGGTTGCTGGGCACATCCCCAGTAGGGAGTGTGCAGGAGGCAGCTGATCGATGTTTCTCTCTCATCGATGTTTCTAACTCTCTATCCCTCTCCCTTCCTCTCTGTAAAAAATCAATAATATATATATATATATTTTAAAAAAGAATTCTTTTTTAGGGCCAAGTAGTATTCCGTTGTGTAGATGTACCACAGCATTTTTAGCCACTTGTCTAGTGATGGACACTTGGGCTGCTTCTATACCTTGGCTGTTGTAAATAATGCTGCAGTTGCCCTGATGGGTTTGGCTCAGTGGATAGAGCGTCGGCCTGCAGACTGAAGGGTCCCAGGTTCGATTCCGGTCAAGGGCATGTACCTTGGTTGCGGGCACATCCCCAGTGGGAGGTGTGCAGGAGGCAGCTGATCGGTGTTTCTCTCTCATCGATGTTTCTAACTCTCTATCCTTCTCCCTTCCTCTCTGTAAAAGATAAATAATTATATATATATATATATTTTTTAAAAAATAAAAAAATAATAATGCTGCAGTGAACATAGGGGGGCATGTATTCTTTTGAATTAGCATTTTAGGTTTCTTTGGCTATTTACCCAGAAGTGGAATCACTGGGTCATAGGCAGATCGGTTTTTAATTTTGGGGGGAAATTCGTACTGTTTTCCATGCTGGCTGCATTCCCACCGGCAGTGCTCAGGGTCCCCTCTCCTCTGCCTCCTCCCAGCACTGGTTGGCTTATGGGTGACAGCCATTCTGACAGGTGCGAGGTGACCTCTCATTGTGATGGCACCGTATGTTCTTTATGCATCTTGTTTGCCCGTCCGCCGATTGCCTCCGCCCTCTGGCGGTTGTGACTGACGCTCCTATGAACATGGGTGCACAGGACTCCACATGAGACGGGCTTACAGTTCCTTGGCCTGGATATATTCTCAGGGGCCACAGGGAGAAAAACAACACTTCTACCCAACTGTCCTCCAGCCGTTTCTCTGAAGTCACCCTCAGTTCCCGCTGGTCAGTTTCTGCTGGGCCCAGCTTTGCCGTCGCCTGGGATGGCTTTTCCTTTCGCCACCAGGTTCTGTAAGGGTTGTTACAGATACAGTTTCTCCCGTCAGGAGCACAACGGGGCGGAAGAGCACAAGGTTGGAATCAGACATCTGCACCGGCAGCCCGGCTGGCCTCCTCGCGGGGCAGGGACGGCGCACACACCATCACACCCGTGAACTGGACACCCTAAGGCTGCATCCAAAAGGTAGGCACACTCTTTCCTCAGTGATTCCCCTGCCTTGACGTTGACTTGACCTTCTCCGATGGGCGATGTTAGGCGCCCTTCCAGACGTACAGCTTGCAGAAGGTGCAAGGGGAGCGGGGATGGGAAGCAGAGACACAGCGGCCCCTGGTGGCTGCTCCAGGCCCCGGACAGACACAAGTGTCCGCCACCAGACAGCTGGCGGGCTGCCACCTGGAGGTCAGACAGCTGGACCCAAGGAGGGCAGAGCCGGCCGGGCGTGGGAACCTGGCTGAGCTCAGGGAGGGCGCTGTGTCTGGGCCACAGGGCCGGGCGGGGCATGTTGTCACTTGAAACCCTGCCCTACATGGTGTGGCTCAGTGGATAGAGCGTTGGCCTATGGACTGAAGGGTCCCGGGTTCGATGCCGGTCAAGAGCACATGCCTGGGAGTTCACTATTGGTGTATAGAAATGCCTCAGATTTCTTGGGGTTAATTTTGTATCCTGCTACATTGCCAAATTCATGTATTAAGTCTAGTAGTTTTTTGATGGAGTCTCTAGGGTTTTGTATGTATAATATCATGTCGTCTGCAAATAAGGACAGTTTTACTTCCTCTTTTCCTTTGGATGCCTTTTATTTCTTCTTCTTGTCTAATTGCAATGGCTAATACTTCCAGTACTATGTTGAACAGGAGTGGTGAGAGTGGGAAAAATATATTTTTTAAAAAATAATAAACCCCACGGAGGCTGTGTAAAACCCCACCCAACAGGAGGAGGGGTTGAGTGAGATGGTCTCTGAAAGTCTCCTCTGGCTCTTCTTCCAAGCAGGGTGTGTATTTTTAGAAGAGTGAAATATCAACAGTTAGTTTTTAGCAAACCCACTACATATCTTACCAAAATGTATTCTGTCCTTCTTCTATCTAAAGAGTTCTCCCCTTAGCTCTTGACACTTTTGTATGTATATACAGGGTGGGGCAAAAATAGGTTTACAGTTGCTCGTGTGGAAAATAATACAATAACTAATAAATAATAATACAAGGAAAAAACTGTTGCTCGTACTCAGAGCCGAAAACCTCCTTTTGCCCCACCCTGTATACGCACACACCTGTCAGTGAGATATGTGATCACACAGAACAAGTGGCAGGAGTTTGAAGGATACAATTGGGTAGGTTTTGACATGTGGATACACCTGTTAACCCGTCACTGCAATGAAGATACTAAACGCGTTCTTCCACTCTGTGCGGCCTACCTCCTTCCCTCCCACCTGCCACCTCCACCTCCCACTTCCACCTCCTTCCCTCCCACCTCCACCTCCACCTCCCACTTCCACCTCCTTCCCTCCCACCTCCACCTCCACCTCCCACTTCCACCTCCCACCTCCTTCCCTCCTACCTCCACCTCCCACCTCCACCTCCTACTTCCCACCTCCACCTCCACCTCCCCCTCCCCACCTCCACCTCCACCTCCTACTTCCCACCTCCGGGTACCTCATCTCTCAGCCTCAGCCGATTTCAACCAAATTTGGCCAATCCGGTTCAGCCCTCTCACCACCAGAGGGAGCTTACAGGCCTCCCAGGCAAGCAGAAGCTGTGGGCCCAGGGGCACCTCGCTCAGAGAGCTGCTTTACAAGTTGCTAAAATGACAAAGGACTTTCAAAAGGAGGCTCTGACTCTGAGACCACAGTCCTAGGGCCTCTGCCTCCCTCCCAAGACTTGGCCTTCAGGAACGTGTTTCCAAAGAGAGAAAGTCAGGGGGACCCACAGACGCTGAAGGGGGCGGGATTGGAGGAGAGTGACAATAAATTACACTCACATAGTGTTTTGTCACTTGATAAAGCACATTCACACTCTGGTCTGTGTATCTCAACGGTTAGAGCATCAGCCCCTGCACCAAAGGGTTGTGGGTTCAATTCCCGGTCAAGGGCACTTACCTGGGTTACAGGTTCCATCCCTGGCCCCAGCCGGGGCACCTGCAGGAGTCAACCAATCGGTGAGTCTCTCATATTGATGTTTCTCTCTCTCTTTCTCCCTCCCTTCCTTCCACTCTCTCTAAAAATCAATGGGAAAAAATATCCTCGGGTCAGGAATATCAACACAAAACAAAAAAGCACATTCACATATATTTTCACATAATTCCTCCAAGCCTCCAGCCAATGAACACTCACAGAGTGCTTAGCTAGACTCGTGCTCCACCTGGGTGTGCTCCCTGACCAGACCCTCGCTCCCAGAGGCAGACGGCCTGGCCTGGCTCCTGGTCTGGGGAGGTTGTGTGTGTGTAGGGTGGGGGTGCTTGGGCAATCGCCGTGCTGGGCCCCAAGGCCTCTAATGTGAATGCGAAGCCGCCCTCGGCGGCTGCTAAGGTCCCTTCACCTTAGTCATCTGGGGTCCTCAAACTCTCAGGAAACCCAAGGCGCCTGAGCTGGTTTGGCTCAATGGACAGACTGGAGGGTCCCGGATTCGATTCCGGTCAAGGGCACGTACCTCAGTTGCATGCTTGATCCCCAGCCCCAGTTGGGGCACGTAGGGGAGGCAACCAAGCGATGTGTCTCTCTCACATCGATGTTTCCCCCTCTCTGTCTCTTCCCCTCCCTTCCACTGTCTCTACACGTGGATGGAAAGATACCCTCAGGTGAGGATTAGCCAAAAACAAAGAAACCAACGGGCCCTGCTGGCTCTCAGCGGCAGAGTCCAGCACCCCAGGTGGTGGCCTTGGGCCGGGGCCGCCCTCCCTGGTGACGGCTCCTGGTCCTCAGGCCCGGGACCATCTCCATCCTGGCCAAACCACTGCTGACCCTCCCACCAGAGTCTGGTTAGGGCTCGTCCCAGCCCCGTGGGAACTCGGGCTCCTGGGACACGTTTTCGGCAGCATCTTTCGGGGTAGTGCACGCCCAGCGACGTCCTGTCCACTTCTTTCTACACCTTCCCATGCCCAGCATGAGGTGGCCACCCCCCAGGCCTGGCATCTGGCAAGGCCCGTGAGGCTCTGCTCCAGCCCCGACAGGCCAGCTTCCTCCGACCACAGACAGCAGCCAACACCCCAGCCACCTGTGTCCCCGCCACCAGGCCGCCATGGCCTTGCACATGGGGTTCTCTCTGCCCCAGTGCTCCCTCCGCCTGTTTGCCTGGCTCATGCACAGGCCCTCCCAGCCTCAGGTCGAGCCTGTCCTGGAAGCCGGCCTGACTCCTCCAGGGCTCAGCTGCTTCTCCTGCGGACCCCTTTTTAAATTTATTTTTTATTTTTATTGATTTCAGAGAGGAAGGGAGAGGGAGAGAGAGAAACATCCATGATGAGAGAGAGTAACTGACCGGCTGCCTCCTGCATGCCCCACACTGGGGATGGAGCCCGAAACCCGGGCCTGTGCCCTGACCAGGAACCCAACCGTGACCTCCTGGCTCAGAGGTCGACGCTCAACCCCTGAGCCAGCCTCGGGGCCCCTGCAGACTTTATACAGATCCCAGAACACACTGCCCTCCGCTTTCTGCCTGCAGATCGCCCTCCGCCCCCCACCCCCATTAGACCGCCGGCTTCTTTAGGACCCACAGCTGCCGTCTGTGTTCCTCTCCAGCACCCAGAGCTGCCCGGCCCCACACAGCAGGAGCCCAAACAGCACCTGAGAAGGGGCTGGAAGGATGAGTGAGGCGGCCCTGCCCCGGGGGCGGCTGGTACCCAGCAACTTGGTGGGCGGGGGC